CCCCAAAACCCCAAAACCCCGAAAATTTGTTGGAATCGGAATTTTTTATTACCAGTGTAGTTAATTAAAATAATCAATTTCCTTTCAATATTATTCAATTTCATTCTATAAAAAAAGTGTGCTAGGACATTAAATAAGTGTACCGTTAGTGTGTATAGATAATTCTATAATATTAAATGTATAAAAGTAACCTAGACTCCATCCTTAACCAAGACCTTGGTCTTGCTAGGTTTAGGAATATGTAGAGTATGTCAACCACAGATAATGTTCACTAAGTTCAAAAGACCAACTCAAATGCACTCAATTAATCTATCAAAAAATTTGCTCAGCCATACTATACCAGTGATTAGGTTTAGGAGTTTGCGAGCAATAACACTAATGGGGCAATTTCACTCAAGATAGGCGATTAAATGCAGTAAAATGCATCTTACCAAGTTGAATTTAAAAGAAAACTTGGAGTCAAAGGGAGTAGACCCTTGAAAAAAGGCCCATTAAATACTATTTATAAAGATAACTTACCTCCATGAAATTTGCAAGAATCACAGCCAGGGATAAATTCCCCAATTAAAAGATTTAATCACCACATACCTTCTAACTATGCTGGAGAAAATGTTGGAAATGGGAGATTTAATAACTGCAGTAATTTTAAAAGAGGTTTTTAGCCATTGCCTGGGCCTAGGCTTGATGAATATGCATGTGAAGATGAGGTAAGTAACGACACTTCTTTTGATTTTTATAGGCTGCTTTATTTAGAGCAGCTATGACTGCACCTCCTAGAATTCCTGTTCATGTTCCGTCGAATCAACCCTTTTGACCCTTGAATGATTCCTAATACAAGAGACTAAGACCTGGAGAAGAAGAATAATAAGTTATTTCTATCAATCCAACTATTTAAAACGCCTATGATAAGATTATTAGAGAAAACGAAAGCAAAGAGTATGATGACAATGGAGACTTAGTTAACTGCAATCCCGACGATGAGATGTATGAAGGTGAAGATCACTATAAAGCTTATAACCTAGAAAAAGAAGGAGGATTTAATGAATATAGAGATAAGTAGTTCCCGTGGGATTCATAAATCGTAGAAATCAATCAGAAAGTCTTCAAAAATAAGATATTTCTGGAAAATTAAAGAGAAGTTATCAATGCAGCATTATCAGGAAAGGATGTGATGGCTTTAATCCCAACTGGAGGAGGTAAAAGTTTAACTTTTTAACTAACAGCCCTCATGAACAATGGCTATACTTTTGTTATAATGCCCTTAATTTCACTTATTGAAGATTAGATAGAGTCATTGAAATAACTCAGAATAAAATGTGTGCAGTTCTCATCCAAGTTTTCTAAAAAAGAAAAGCAAACTTAATTTTACGCTGATTTATTAGCAGGTAGTGATCCTCATATGAAGCTTATATATCTGACTCCTGAGAAGTTGGTCTAATCAAAGTCCTTTATTAATGTCCTAGATAAACTTTACTCTGAAAATAGAATAGCAAGATTCATTATTGATGAAGTTCATTGTGTGAGTCATTGGGGTCAAGATTTTAGGAAGGACTACAGAGAGCTTCAAATTCTAAGAATGAGATATGCTACAGTACCTATGATTGTTTTAACAGCAACTGCAACAATTGCTGTGAAATACGATATCGTAAAACATTTAAAGCTTCCAAATATAGTTTTCTTTCAATCTAGTTTTAACAGGCCAAACCTTCTCTATGAGATTAGAGATAAAGCCAAAATAAAAAAGAATATTGCTGAGGACATCATAATGCTCTTAAGAGATAGAAAGTATGTATATTAAAGCGGTATTATCTATTGTCTCTCGAGACAAGAGTGTGAGGAGTTATGCGTTGAGTTAAGCGAATATGATGTTAAATGTGATTTCTATCATGCAAAAATGACTGAAGCTGAAAGGAAAAATATATAACTAAAATGGATGAGAAATGAAATACATATTATAATTGCTACAATCGCCTTTGGTCTTGGTATTAATAAAAAAGATGTGAGATTTGTGATCCATACTACTATTCCTAAAAGTTTGGAAAACTATGCTTAAGAATGTGGAAGAGCTGGAAGAGATGGTGAGAATGCAAATTGTATCTTGTATTATTCCTATGGCGATAGAAAACGATTAGAATTTTTCATTATTTCGAACACTGAAAACACTGCTGGTAGAAAAAATGAGAACTTGCATGCCTTATATAAGATACTTGAGTTTTGCGAAGAACCATATTTATGTCGTAGGAAGATTTTACTCAATTATTTAGGAGAAGATTTCAAGACTAAAAAATGCAATAACATGTGTGATAATTGCTGAAAAGGGCTTAGAGTTGCTGAAATTGATTTTACAGAACAAGCAAGGTATGTTGTAGCAATGGTTGAAAGTGCATTGAGGAAAAAAATGGATCTCACTGTCATCTAAATCTGTAAGTTTCTTCGTGGTAAATAATGTGTCATGTCTAATCCTAACAAAACAACAAAGATGGATGAGATCAAGCAGTCTTACTATGGAAGATTAAGTGAGTACTCTGAGGAACTTATAAAGAGAATTGTCATGAAATTACTAATCAATAAAGTTTTAAAGGAAAAATTCAACTCTTATCAAGTGGAATCTACCATACTAGTGTATCTTATACCGGGAAGAATGTTTGATACCTTTAAAAAGGGTCAGGTCAGAATAATACTGACAGATTGTATTGAAAAGGAAACTGAAAATGAGTATATGAAACTCAAAAAGAAAGAAAATCAGGATTTAAAGAAGAGGTACAAAAATGCCAATGGAGATGATGAAAAAGAAGTCTAAAATGATGAAAAGATCAAAAAGAAGAAAAAGCCAGGCAGGAAAACTTTGGAAGATTAACTAATTGATGACTAGAATTAATTAGAATATACAAAACTCGATTAAATAAAAGTTAAGTCAATATTACCTGAGGAGTAAAAAGAGGAAATATCTTAGAGACTCGAAATAATCAGATAGAAATTACTTTCTAAGGCTTAAGGAAAGATTTTCTTCCTAATCAATCATATCTTCACTAATGATTTCATTCAGATTATGACATTCATTTTACCGCAAGCAACTGAAGATCTTTTGGACAATGAATTACTTGATTTATCAAATGACAATAAGAAATTTCTTAAAAGGTATTTAGAGATCTTCTTAAATGAAATTCGGTACTTTATTAAGTTATATCATCTAGAAGAGATTATAAAAAATAGAGGGGGTGTCGCCTATTAATTGATGAAAGAAAGCTCCCCTAGTAAGTCAGATGAAAATGGTGGTTTAACAAAATTTTCAAATTGCTTAGGAGTAACTAAGATCAAGAAAGAAGATAAATTTAGCGCTTTCAGTAAACAACATGAGGATGAAAAAATGTAATAGATAAAGGAGGCAATAGATAAGGTTGATAAAGGAAATGTATCAGATATGGATATCTAAGAAGTTAAACAGTAAAATTAAACAATTCAGCCAATAAAGAAGCATATGCTCAAAAGAAAAGCATTTATCATTAATCCAAGATAAAACAATTAAAAAAGCAAACTAAAAAAAAATCATGTAGGTGATAAAAGATAGTTTGAAGATTCTGGAACACATAGGGATTATGGCTTCAGTGACGGGGAGAGTAAGGCTCCATAAAATGATTCTGTTCCCACAGACTGCAAATTCAAATTTAAAAAGAAGTTAACTAGTTTCCTTCCGCCAACTAAAAAGTTCAAATTGAAGTGAGTTTATTTCAAGCAAATAAAAACCTTAATTAATTCAATAAATTTCAATTTTAAAATAGCAAATAATTTAGTGTTAATATTAAAATTAATATCTTATGGAATCAGAGTAAGCAAATTAGCTGCAGCAGTCTGTCTAGTATTAGGATGGATCATTCAAATGGGTTGATGAGGATATACCTTAACCAGGCAAAGGCTAAATTCTTGTTGAAGTGCAATATTCTACTATCAATCCTTATGATAGAATAATATTTGGTGTCAATAAGGAAGAGGGCTTTGTTATGGGCGCAGATGGCTGTGGTTTTGTCAGAAAAGTGGGAGATGACGTGGATCAGAATTTGATTGGTAGCCTCGTTTCTTTTACCAGAGGTGGTTGGAGTAGATACGCCATCAAGGATATTGCTTAGGTTATTCTATATTAGAATAATGAAGGCTTTGATCCAAGAAACGCTGCAAATGCTTATGTGAATCCATTGACTGCTTGTGGATTGATAGATTTTGCTAAGAAGCACAATGCTAGAGCTGTAGTCATTCTTGCTGCTTCCTCTCAGTTGGCGAAATAAATGATCAAGCTTTGTAGGTAAGAGGGACTAGAAACAGTAAATATTGTGAGAAAAGATGAGTATGTCAAAGATTTAAGGGAAAACTACGGAGCTAAATATGTTCTTAATTAAGAAAGTCCAGAATTTTTGAAAGACCTAGAACCCATATTGAAAGATACTTAAGCAACAATACTTTTTGAATGCTTAGGAGGGGATCTCCCAGGAGATATCTTTGCTAAAATGGTTCCAAAGAGTTGGATGATAGTTTATGGCACATTAACAAAGAAACGGCCAAGCTTTGATGCTTACGATTTTAGATGGAATGATAAAAACATCACTTCCTTTGTATTAAACAGATGGCTAGCATCACTTGAGCCAGAAGTAAGATAGTAATAGTTCCAAAGAGTAGCAGATGATTTGCAAAATAACTAAGGACAAATTTTTGGATCCTAAATCGTTAAAGAGGTGCCCCTTGAGGATTGGAGAGAAGCTATGGAGGAGTCTGAGAAATTAGCATCGGAAGGTAAATTTTTAATCAAA